ATTATTTGCTTGTACTTAAAGTGCAGATGGTAAAAGAATGTATGATTAGGTGGGCACAAAATATAGGACATAATATTTATATTGATCAATGGTTGCAAATATAGAAATACAGTATAACATAAAGCTCACAAAATCAGTAAATTTCAAGGACAACATATATAAGACATTTTACAGGTCGCATATGACTCTGAAAAAAATGTCAAAGATTTATACAGAGGTGTCAAATGTTTGTTGGAAGTGTGAAGCACAAGAGGGAAGCTTTTACCACATGTGGTGGACTTGCAGAGTAGCAAAAACAGTACTGGATAGCAGTACATACTCTGTTACAAAAATAGTGCTTTGTAATGTTCTACTAACCCCAGAATCGTTTTTATTGAGCATTATACCAGATAATATAGCTAAGACAAAGAACTGCCTAATTTTATATATATAGTCACTGCAGCCAGAATTCTTTATGCTAAGAACTGGAAGAAATCGGAGATACCGAAACAAGGGGAACTTACTGACAAGATATGGGAAGCTGCAGAAATGGATATTCTATCAGAAGTGTTGAAAGACTGTCCAATACAAAATGCAACTGAACAATGGGATTTATTATATAAATGGCTTGAGTCTCCAGATAGTGCTTGAATAACATAGAATTAAACTAAGATGTAACTGTAAGTTGAAACCTGCAAGGCAATCAAATTGTAGAAAGGTGAAAAGTTGACTTGATATCGCAACGTGAACAGATTGAAGGACAGTACATTTTGTGTTCTCCTTTCTCCTCTTTCCCCCCCTCTACCTTTTGTACTCCTTACCTTATCCCTAGTTGTTAAAAATAAAACATAAATTTAAAAAAAGAGAAAGCCTGCCTGAAGAGAAAGGTATTTGCCTGCTCGTGGAAGGACAGCAAAGATGGGGCCAGCCTAGCTTCCCCTGCGAGGGAGTTTCAGAGTCTGTGAGCAACGGCAGAGAAGGCCCTCTCATGTCCCCATCAAGAGCACCTGTGAGGGTGGCGGGACTGACAGAAAGGCCTCCCCTGATGATTCTAGTGCCTGGGCAGGCTCACAGAGGGAGATATGGTCTTTTAGATAGCTTGGACCCAAGCCATTTAGGGCTTTATAGGTTTAGACCAGCTCTTTGAATTATGCCCTAAAACGGATCTGCAGCCAGTGGAACAGCTATAACAGACAGTTTGATGTAACCAGCCCCAGTCAGCTATCTGGCTGCTGCATTTTGGACCCTCTGAAATTATCCCAATTTGAATTTGGTTTATATTATGATCTGAACTACGTACCTACACACATTAACTGAACAAGCTGCCATGTCTACCTATGGTGGGTAGGCAACTCTGAGGTTCACTGTCATTTGCCTGGAATACTACTACCTTTATGTCTTCTTGTGGGCTTCCCAACGTCATCTTTTTGGCTGCTGTAAGAAATAAAAGGTTGGACTAGACAGTCCTTTGGTCTATTCGGAAAGTCCATCTGCCCTGTTCAGCACACCTATTTAGCTGGGCTCTGCTGATATTCTTCAGAGTAGAAGGCATTTATCATCTTCAAAAAAACTTTAAAAATGTACAGAAATATATTAGCAAAACAGTAGCATCGTTCAATTAAAATCTGTATGACACTGAATGAGAAACTTAGTAGCCTTGAAACTTACAAACAAACTTGGGATGTTTTCTTGGTGTAGGTATGACTCCTTGCTGTGCTTTTATTTACCCTTCAGCTTTTATATGCCTCTTAAGTAAAAAGTGCAACTTGTGGAAATGAAGGAAAGAAAAAAAAAACCCCAAAATAAAAAATATTGTGCTTTGAGGCAGAAATCCCAATTTAATATATTTTCCTTCATATTTCCACCCCAAAGCTGGGCTCACTGGAGGACTTCTGTATGTCGTATACGGAATGATCTCCTCCAGAGTACCCATTTCAAGCTATAAATTTGATCTCAAGGATTCAGTGACACTGATAAATCACTCAAGGTTTTGCTCTCTGGGTTGATGTTGCCATGATCTCTCAGTGGAACCAGAGTCATCTCATATAGTTCTGGTCTGTGCAATACTTCACTTCTTCCATTATTATATGATGTATATAATTTAAACAAAAAACTACTCCTTTGGGGGCAATTTGAAATTTCACAGTATAATATACATGGCTGGTGTTACTGCACAGTATCACTCTTCTGGAATCTTTGAGAGCTCTTAAGATTTCCTCTGTATCTCATGATGCCCCTGAGGTGTGTTATCTCTCGGTGACATTACTTGTTCTGTCTTATTGCAGTCTGGTGGAAGACTTATCTGTTTACCAGTTATTACTTGGATTTGTATAGAAGCCATTTGTGATTGACCCAAAGAGTCTAATTTCCTATTTACTGTACAGTATTGTCTTCCTGTCCTTTCTTATAAATGGTTTTGGTCTAAATGGCATCAGGAGGGCTGTAACAGTTAACATTCATTAACATTTAGAGTGCTGCCTCATGTTTCTCCTTCAGGATATTAAATTAGCTACAGTTATTCAGCAGTAAACTAGCATCTGTTAAATTTCATCAATACTAAGCAAATCACAGTATTAAATATATTTTAATTTATATTGTTAGTCCATCCATTAGAACTTCTTGGTATCTTTGGGTGTTGTGTCTTGAAGTCGGAAAGAATGATTGTTGTGGAACAAACCTCTGTCCTAAAGGAATTATAAATATCTCATATAAATGCTGCCTTCTTTTGATTTGTTTGGAAAAAGTATGCATGTTGTTTTATACATAAGATAATAAAATGGTGAAACCAGCAAATATGTCAGCACACAAGACTATTATGGAGAAAGTTCATCTGTTCTGTGCAGGCATTTGTACCACAACAGAATCTGATCCAGTTCTGATTTGGGGGGATGGGTAGGTTATTTTACATGCTCAGCTGAGAATTAAAAACAAAAACAAACAAACAAAAAGGCTTAAATGACTTTTCTGGCAACAAAATCCACTTTTGCAGCTACTCTTTGCAAAAGCCAGCAGCTTTATCCTGTTGCATATTGCTTGATGTTCCTCTGTGACTCAAATGAAACTTTTTGTGAGACTAAAGAGAAATTAAGGAAGTGAATTTAAAGAGCAGTCAAGAGTTGCAACCAGATAACTTGAAAGGAAGGAAGGAAGGAAGGAAGGAAGGAAGGAAGGAAGGAAGGAAGGAAGGAAAACACCTGAGGGAGATGTAACACTCCAAAGATTGCGCAGTCCACACAAAAACCACAAAACCTTCAAAGCTCTCAGCAAACGAGTGCATACCCGTCACCCTCAAAGTATTGAAAATATTGAGAGGAGGACAAAAAAATAACTGATACACTGCAAAAACAGCCAGTGATTTGCAGAAATGAGGAAAATGCCTGATGAGACACCATGTCAACTAATGCTTCAGTTTTTGCCAGTGAAGACCTAATTCAAATCTCGGACTTTGAGTTACCAACCCAAGTTATTTCATGATTAAATTCAGGATTTAAAATACTGTATAGGTTTGACATAGAAAAATAAATAAATGCATGTGTCAATTAAAAAAGCACAGACCTGCGCACACCGAAGTTGGACATGTGGGTGCTCATAATGACAGTTATCATAACCAGCTTCTTCCATAATAAGAGACTAGAAATGCAGGTCTCTGAATTCAACCATATTAACAAATAAAGATCAAAGTCTTCTGCAAACCTAATAGCTGAAATGCCCATTCAAGACCAAAACACCTTTAAGTGCTTTGCATTATAACACGGACAGCTTTAGAAGAATGTACTGTTCCGAGCAATTACAAGAATCCTTAGAGGACTCAGGAGGGTGGCAATTGATATCATAATTCTTGCTACTCAGAAAATCATGGGGCTTTGACCCTGCAATCCCTGGCTCCACTACAGACCTACCTATATTAGGAATAACAGCCAAGCCCACACAATGTGTGACATGAAATGCATTTTTATGCAACATAGAGAATTTTAAAAATTGCGAATTGCATCAGTGAAGAGATTACAATGAATAGACTGGAGAGAGTATACAGGAGTCATTAATTTAAGCCTTGCCTCCCCTGATGTGGTCTGGAGGAAATTCTCTCTTTAAAACTCTTTTTGTGTGTGTGTGGGGGGGAAGAGAATTTCCCATCACTTCCATTTTTAAAAAAATATACTTTGAGGCCACTTCATGATAATGTACTTGAAAGAAGGGAGGTCTTTAATTTTTCCCACATGCCATTTTCCTACCAAGATCATGGCCTCAAGATAGTTTGTTATTTGTATTATTTTTTTCCTGTTCCTGTAAAAGTATGAAAATCATAGGACTGAAACTTGGCATGGATACTAAGGGGGTTATAAGTGTGTGCACGTCCCATGGTTATACTTTGTTTGTTTTTTTTAAAACTGGATAAATAATGTTAATTAAATGAAATCTTCCTCTAGCCTACAGCACTACATTTTGCCAATAGGTGACAACCTTTTCTCAAGCAGGACAGGCAAAACAGGCTCGGGAAATGAATTCTTCTCCTGGGCCTCTAGGCTGCTCCATGTGCTCTCCTTTGCAGGGCATCCAAACTCTTTCAACAGTTTGGAAAGCATGAGTGAGGAGAGAAGAAAATGACTGGGTTTTGGTAGGCAGGAGGAAGAGAGCAAACAGAAAGAAAGGCTGAATGGGTGCTAATGCAGAGAGAGAGAGAGAGAGATGGCATGATGAAAAAAGTGACAGGAAAGTCAGAAATGAAAGAGCAGAAGGGAAGAAAAAGCGTATCAGCCTGGGATGATGTCGATAAAGTTTCCAAGTCACACAGGAAAGTCAGAAGAGAAAGAACAGAAGGGAAGAAAAAGCGTATCAGCGTGGGATGATGTCGATAAAGTTTCCAAGTCATATGAATCTGAGTAAAGCTTGATAATTGTAGTTCGGCACCTTTCTATAACTCTATAACCTTTAACCGAGTAAAGCTTGATAATTGTAGTTAGGCACCTTTCTATAACTCTATAACCTTTAATACTATATAAGAAAAGGGATAAATGACTTACCTTCTGAGTAAGCAGTGCTTGGACAACCTGATTGGCCACCTATAGAAGAAATAAAATATATTTGAGCAGTGCATAGTGCGTGTATGTGCGTGCTATGTACAATCTCTTTCAGGTAACTCTGGGGGCCTTTCAAAACCCTGCTTATTATCCGTACAACTTCACATCCGACTATATTACAGTTTTCTATGACGATCTCATTCTGTCTGAAAGCCTGTATCTAGTATCTAGTAATAACTATTGTTAGGATTCCATGTATTCTAAGGAGAAGAACTAATGTTGAGTCAGAGACCCTGTGTTTCTGTAAATGATATGACTGAAAATCAGTTTAGTAATAACTCATGTGGTTAAATATATTGTTAGGATTCCATGTATTCTAAAGAGAAGAACTAATGTTGAGTCAGAGACCAAACCCTGTTTTTCTGTAAATGATATGACTGAAAATCAGTACCATTAAGCTGGTTTCGTAGAAGGTATTTTCAATTTTGTGCAAGCAGGATATGGGATCCCAAATGTTTTCAAAAGCCTTGATTGTTTCCCGATTTGATATTGACAAAACGGAATAAACAGCTAGGTAGAACACAGTGGCACAGAAATTTAAATACCTGCAGACACCAAAGTGTGGTTGGAACTTACTCAGACCCCAGTTTCTAACTGAATTATGTCAGAGTACAAAGCACTGATTAGTAGCTATACAACCATGTTGTTTAATACATATATAAAAGAACACAGAAAACCAGGAAAAACCTTTTAAAAGCTTCTTTGACATTCACAGTTTCTCTCTCTCTCTCTCTCTCTCTCTCTCTCTCTCTCTCTCTCTCTCTCTCTCTCTCTCTCTCTCTCTCTCTCTCTCTCTCTCTCTCTCTCTCTCTCTCTCTCTCTCTCTCTCTCACACACACACACACACACAGAGAGAGAGAGAGAGAGAAATAAGGGCAAAAGTTTCAACCTAATTCATTTTAGTGAAAACCATGTTCCTGTGTGATCCAAAAATTTGATTTGATTCATTTTCTCATAAAACATCCCAACACTCTTTTCTCTTTTCAAAACTGGTGTTTAACCTAAGGCAACAATGAAAGGAATGGCCACATAAAACAGCTCTGTACATGATTTAACAGGAGATACAAAATAAAACTGCAGTGATAATAACCCACATGAGTGAATGTGTTATATTTCTGAAATCCACATGTGCTGCCCTTTAGGCTTTTAGAACAGATATACAGCAGTATTTCTTCTGCCATACCCTTTCTGTTTTAATATTGTTTTGTTTACCTAAAAATTGAACAAAAACTCTAATACATTGTTACTTTACTTACTGACATGAGGTTACTTTTGGAGGAAAGAAACACCAACAAAACCTTAAGGGGCTCTTTGCACCTCCAGGACATCTGAAAGAGCTTTGCCCAGTAACCACTGAAAGACTGACAAAGATTGGAATAAATAGGATAGAAATTATTGTCTTTAGAGATTCTGTTAACACCTCTAACCTGAATAGTAGAAATTACAGTAAAATAAGGATGGGTGCTTATATCCAGTACTCCTGTTGTTATGGGCCATCAAGTCATTTCTGGCCTATAACAAACCTAATAGGGCTTTCAAGGCAAATAAAATGTTCAAGGAGTGATTTAGTATTACTATAACTCAAGTGAGTTTCCATAGCTGAGTGGGATTTGAACTCAGGTCTCCAGAGTCTAGTCCAACACTATTCTGCACTGGATCTTCTTATCTAGAACTACAGAAGCTTCTTTAGCCAACACGGAAACTACACATCTGTTGTATGCCAGCCCTGGAGGATGATAATGTTTCAATAATTTTGTATACATAACATCATAGAATGAAAGCAGTGGATTTACCCACCAATATTCATGCTTAGGATAAAAGTTGTAAGCTGTAGCATTTATGATCAAATTAATATTTTGTTATGCCACACTGTGGGTTCCTGACTCACAATTTGAAAAGTCTTTTTAAAAAAAATACATTTTCAACTCTATCAGAACTTTATAAGGCTATGTATGCTTAGCTTAAGATGCTTATTGGATTTTATCCAGCAGTTGCCTCTAGAGAGTCAGGAGTAGAATTCACTTCGAACCTAGATTTAGCCTGTCTTACCAACAGTATGATAGCTGAATCCATCTGAATAATTTTTTACAATGCTTGCCATTTTTCAAGTACAATATTTACTCAATCTGTTTGTCAGCATGCAGATATTTAAATACTGCTGATTATATGTACTACAAGAATTTATCATGCACAGATTTATATCCACGTGAAATCATATTATTTTTATGAAAGTTTCCATTATATACTGTATTTTTTGCACCATAAGACTCACTTTTTCCCCACAAAACAGGGGTGTGGAAAGTCTGTGCGTCTTATGGAGCGAAAAATACGGTAAATAGTTTCTATAAACTGTATAAATAGGTACAAAATAATGTAAGTCAGTTTTCTCTCCAGCTAAAATCATAATTGGCTTTCCCTGATCATTTCAATTTTGGTAGCAGTTGGGAAGATTCTGTAAGTGACATACAGACAAGTAACAAAATAGTACATTGTGTGTCTTCATCCTCATGTTATACGAATCCATTATATATGATGAAGTCTGCATTCAATAATTAATTAATTAAATGATGACATTTCGGCGCCAGGTCAAAACCTTCCTGTTCCAGAAGGCTTTTAATTGAAATAATATCAACTGTGGGTCCTGATGGCAATTTTTAGAGTACCTATTTTAATTATATTTTAATTGTTTTATCCTTTTATTGTATTTTAATTGTTGTAAGCCGCCAAGAGACGTTTGGGTACAGTAGGCAGCATATTAGTTAAATAAATAAAATAAATAATAAATAAATTAAAAATATGCCAAGACAAGTACTTTTTCACTAATAATACACCTAGTATTTTTTAAAACATCAGGTGACTTAAAATCTAAACTATTATGCATATAACAGAAAGTTGTCTCCCGTCCAAATAAAGTGAAACTCTACAGAATGAATGTTTTCTTTCCTGATCATAGAAGACCTCAATTTCTGGACTACAACTGGCAGGAAGGTTCTCGAAGTTACAGTGCAAAAAATGTCTTCTTACTCATACTAGATGCTCAGCCGAAATTGTACTACCATGCAGAAATATGTAGAAGATTAATGTTTTACTGTACTTCCAAAGCAAGGATGCTAATGTTAGGGAAAAAATGAAACACCCTTACCACCACCTCCTTAATTTATAATGACTCACTCTAGCATTATAAACATAATAATATCAGTGTGCAATGGTGCTAACATATTCCAGGATATATTTCCAGTGAGCTGGCCATGTTTTGACATTGAAGTACGGTAAAAATGGGTATAAAATTATAATTACATCCCTTTTTTTGTTTCTGAATTTAAGCGGAACATTGGGGGCATATATATATATA